CGGACCCGGGTGTGCGCCCTGCGCGGCTGTCGCCCACGGGTGGTGGCTTGGGGCCGTGGGACGGGCCGCCCCGTCTCTGGAAGGAGGAAGGGGGTGGTGACCGGGGGCTGGCGAGGGGGGACGCGCGTGGGGCCGAGGCTGGCGGACGCGGGGTGTCGGGGGTGGAAGCGGCCGCCCGGGCTCTGGCCTCCCAGACAGCGTTGTCACACGGGCCTGCCCCCGTGCGAGGGCACAGGTGCCCCGGCCGGGGTCTGTCGGGAAGATGGCGACCCCGGGTATGAGCTGGCAACAGCACTATTACGGCGGCGGGGCGGCCAAATTCGCGCCCACGCCGGCGGCCGCGCAGCTGGCCGGACACTGCATGGACTACAGCCCGGACATGCACCTGAAGATGAGCAAGAAGATCGCGCAGCTCACCAAGGTAAGGCGGGCGCGCGCCGCGGGGCGCACCTGTGCCTCACCTCCCCCCGGAGGCGCCGGGCGGCCGGGGGGGGCCCTCCGGCTCCGCGGGGAAGCCACTGCCTCGAGACCCACCCCGCCCTCCCCACACACCCCCCGCCAGACTAAGCTGGAGGCCTGGCGACGTGGATTCAGGGGAGACCACACCACTGCACGATTGGGTGGATGGACCTTGACCCTGGTGGAGCTTTAGGGTGAAAGGAACCTCCCCCCACCACGTCCCCCCTCTCCCAGAGCACACTGGGGTTCACTTTCCCTGTTCTAGCACAGTTGATCCGCTTGACTGTTGCTCTCCAGTATAGCTTGCCACCAGGCTCCCGCCAGCCAGGCACCCCGCTCCAGTCCCCCAGGAGTGCAGTACGGTTTTACCCGGTACAACCCGGAATCCTCGCAATTAATCCGTGTGTTATGGGATCCACACGGTTAGTTCCAGAGGGAAAATAAACTTTTCTGAGATTATTCTGAGGAATGTGGGAGGGAAAAGCATTCCTTCCATGCAGTTTGGGGAGGTGTCTAGTGAGTGAGTCATTCCTGATCCTAACGAGAAGTCAAGTAGGGCTTTGTGGATGAATCACACTGTGTGTGTGTGCCTTTAGGTATCAAAAGACAATGGAAGCGCTGAAACGCTGAGGATCGGTTCAACAACTGTAGTTTCAGGATGGTAACTTGAGTTGGTTCTTTTTTTTTTCTACCTGTAATTTATTTAACGGTGATAATAAGGAAGAGTTGGTTCCTGTGAAGCCAAAGCAGTTCCGACCTAGGATGCAGTTCCATTTGGCTCTTAGCGACGATTTTGCAGTCCTCCCCCAGTGAGAAATGATTTGTGGTGTCTGGAAGTGGGAGGTGACAACCACTCTACCCTTGATGTTGGTATCTGAGCAGAGGTGGATGTTGCAGGGGTTTTACTGCTGAGTGATATCTGAAGTCTGACTCAACTCCTGGATTTTCAGCATTTTTTTGTTGGTAGTGTCTTGTTATGTTGGTTGTGGGGCTTGAACTCTGGGCCTGGGCGCTGTCCCCAGGATTTCAGCTCAAAGTGAGCACACTACCACTTGAGCCACAGTATCACTTCCTGCCGGGGCTGGCTTTGAACCATGATCTTCAGATCTCAAACTCCTGAGTAGCTAGGATTACAGGCCTGAGCCACCAGTGCCTGGATCTTGTTTTAATGTTTTTTTTTTGAGAGAGTAATTAAGGTACTGGAATTGGAAAGAAAGCAAAGGAAATGAGAATGAAAAGGTGGTGAGAAAAGAATTTTTTTAAAAAGCTCTTAGTGCTGATTTAAGAAACAAACAAATGACAACAACAAAAAACCCCTTGGGCTTCTGGCCCAGACTTCTATTCATAGTTACTCAGGAGGCTGAGATCTGATCATCAAAGTTTGAAGCCTCAGTGGAAAAGTCTGTGAGACTCTCTCATATTTTAATTTTAGTTTTATTGTTCTTGAGTAGCTCTGCAAAACAGCTTTAATTCAACATATCAGTTGGTCCAATTAATCAGCAAACCTGGAAATGTAGGTGTGGTTCAAGTCATAGAGCACCAGCATTGAAAAAGCCAAACAGGAGCACAAAGCCAAGCCTGGTACTGGAACGTGTGTGTGTGCATGCACATGCATGCTCTCGTGTGTGCACGCACGCACACACACACGCATAAGCAAAAGAAAGAAGAGAATTTTCTGACTTGTTTTCATTTGTTGTCTTTTTATTGTTTGTGAGCACTACTTTCGAGGTTGCTAAGTGTCTGGTTTTCAGTCTTTTCTTTTGTAACAGAAAGACCTGCAGTTTAGAGAAAGGATAAGGCTAAAAGGTCCAATAACTGTGTCATCAGTGTGGGTGTGGGGTGAAGCCAGGCCTCCTGCACTGGCATTTGATCTTCAGAATACTGATGTCCAGCGTGAAGCACATGAATATTTATTCTGGTTTTTCTTTGTTCCCTCTGGGACATCCATTGTTCTTAGATTGTAACCCTTTGAAGCCCTCCATAAATTGGTCCTGAAACACTCCATAAATTGATCCTCAGACTGGGTAGAGTTTAATAAAACCTGTTTCTCTTCAGGAAACTTTTTTTTTCCTTGTTACATAATGCTTTTCAATTTCCTGTCCTTTTATCAGAAGAAGCAAGTTAGGGCAAAGTTGTGCATAGAGGAGGTATGACTTTTTCTATTTTCACCACTCTCCACAAGTCTGCCAGTGGCCCATCACTGCTGAATGCCGGCCCTAATCACCACTGAATGTTACTTGGACTCTGATTTAGTGTTTGTAGTTACAGTTCCTAAACACTCATTACCCCACCCACATCTAAGAACTTCAGACATTTAATCCTATCTTCTCAGGTTTCTCCATGTGGAAATTTCTCCAGTCTAAAAATGCCAATAGTACTGTATGCGCATGGGCTGTTATGCACATTTTAGGGTGTCTGGCAGTATCCCTACACTACCTATACTACCTACACTACCACATGCCTGTGTCTAGCAGAAATGGCCAGATGTTCTTGGGTCAGAGCATGGTGAGGCAGGGGTAGTAAAATCATTCCAGGTAAGAGACAAGTATCACCAAGTTATACTGAAATTCCTAGGGCTTCCTCACCCCTCTCTCTTGAGTATGTATTTACTAAAATAAAGCCTAAGAATGAGACAATCTAATAATAGGACTCTTTGAGGCCAGTTCCCTTCAGTTTCTGTGAAAACATAGAGATTGTCAAATTTAACAGTCTATAGACTTACTGTATATACAGTGGCTTAAGCATGATATCATGAATTGAGTATGTATAGATAGTTAGAAACTACTGATATCTGCTATTAACATTTTCACTCATGAAGAGTTTACTAATGGTGAATAGAATTGTAGATAGAACTATAGTGACTAGAACTGTTTGAGACTTGATAATGGCTAATATTTCAAAGTTAGATATTATAACTGTAAAGATTAAACTAGAATCCTGCTTCTTTTGGAAAGGAGTCAGTAGAAGCAGCCAGTACACAGTAGTTTAATTACAGAACTTCTCTTGGGAACTTGACACAGTCTCCTGAGTTAAAATTCCCACTCTAGAACTTGGTAGTAATGTGGCCTTGAACAAGTCTTCAAACTCTGAGCTCAGATATGGAAGTTTGAAAGAAGGATGGTTATGCCTGTTTTAGAGTTGGATTTGCAACAGAACATAGTAGGTTCTTTGTTCAGGCTGCCATTGAGAGTACATATATAGAATAGTTGCAAAATTTATGTGGGTAATATATTAAAAAATACTCCTCTTCTTTAAACAATTATGCTGTCCCTCCCTCTTCCTGGAGACAGTTGTGGGTTTTAAACTCAGGGCCTTCTGCTTGCTAGACAGGCGCTCTGCCACTTGAGCCATACCCCCATTCTTTTATGCTTGTAGTTACTTTTTGGGTATTTCAGCTATGGTCTCCAGCCTCTAGCCTAGGGCTGGCCTCAGGGATTCTGCTGGTCTTCCATGTAACTGAGATAACAGGTACACTGTCATACCTGGCCAGGTATCAAGCCCTGTGCTTTATGTCTCTGCTTTCCAAATGCTGGGATTATAACCCAGGCTTAAGTTAAAAATGAAGCTTCTCCTTCACCCCATGGTGACCCTCTAGCCCTGCCTCTTGCAAGGAGGGGAGCCAATAATCAGAGCACAGGGTGTTACAGACTTCTTTTCACCTAGTTTGTGTACTCTTTCTCCTTTGTCTTGCTAGGCCTGGTCTCTGAACCCTGCAAAGATGGACAAGGAGGGAGGACTCTATCCTAGCTCTGTCTGTCTCTCATAGTATTCACATCTGGTCCATAGGACCCATCATTCTTCACATAAGCTCGGCCGTGCTCCTAGTTCAGCCCTCTCTTCTGGTCTCACATGCATCTTCGTCTAGCTTCTTCTTGTCCTTTAGATTTTTCCAAAGTAAATCAGGTGCCAGGTCTTCAAAGTACATGGTCCCCTCAAAGCTCCACCCCCCGCCCCGCCTGCCTTTTTCCCCAGCCTTTACTGTGGGATAACTCTTCCCTATTTAAGGCCTTGTTATCATAACTCTCCCTCAAGAAATCTCCAGAACTCATTCTGTAATCCCCTCCAACCCATCTCTCTAGTATTGGAGGTGTGTGTATGTGTGTGTGTGTGTGTGTGTGTGTGTGTGTGTGTATACATTGGTACTTGGGTTTGGACTTGGGGCCTGAGCACTGTCTCTTTGCTTTTTTGCTCAAGGCTGGAACTCTTCCACTTGTGCCACACCTGCACTTCCCATGTTTTTTGCTGATTAGTTGAACACAACAGTCTCTGACTTATCTTCCCTGGAAGGCTTCAAACCATTGTGATCCTCAGATCTCAGCTTCCTAAGTAGCTAGGATTACAGGTGTGAGCCACTGGCGCTATGCTCTCTTGAAATTTTTAAGCATGTTCTGGTACTTTCTTTGGAATGTTCTTTTGAAAATTCTCTGGGTTCTCAGTAGAAACTTCTTTATTAGTAACCAATTCAAATTAGCTTCTTACAAATGTTTCTTCACCTGAATGCACTTTTCATACAACTCAATCTACACTTATCACTTAGTCATAACTAGGATGAGTGCCCAAAGAGCAGAGAGTAGTTTTTGTTCTCTGTGTTTAGTATCATTAAGTCTTCTTAGTACTCAATTTATAGCCCTACTTACTCAGATAAGTGAATTGATATACTAGATTCATAGCAAATATTTTTTTAAAGTTTTATGGCCAATCGTGTGATACTGCCTCCCAAACCAGAATGTGTTTATGTACCAACACCACCACTGAAAATTTCAAACAAATTTGGTTTTCACTCCATTAAGTAAAATCGATTCTTGGAGAACTGGCTTGTCTGATGGCCTGACTGCTGTTGCCCTGTACCGCTCAGCTCTGCCCATGACGTGGATATGTGAGCTGAGGTTGGACACAGCCTGGGGAAGCAGTTGGCTGTGTTTGGATTCAGCTCTGGCAAATGCCGAGTGCGGCATCTTCTCT